TGTCTGATCTACTTTCTATAGTTCTAGTGAGGACGCAGGGCAGCAGCGTCTGGATCAGCTGTCTGATCTACTTTCTATAGTTCTAGTGAGGACGCAGGCAGCAGCGTCTGGATCAGCTGTCTGATCTACTTTCTATAGTTCTAGTGAGGACGCAGGCAGCAGCGTCTGGATCAGCTGTCTGATCTACTTTCTATAGTTCTAGTGAGGACGCAGGCAGCAGCGTCTGGATCAGCTGTCTGATCTACTTTCTATAGTTCTAGTGAGGACGCAGGCAGCAGCGTCTGGATCAGCTGTCTGATCTACTTTCTATAGTTCTAGTGAGGACGCAGGCAGCAGCGTCTGGATCAGCCGTCTGATCTACTTTCTATAGTTCTAGTGAGGACGCAGGCAGCAGCGTCTGGATCAGCTGTCTGATCTACTTTCTATAGTTCTAGTGAGGACGCAGGCAGCAGCGTCTGGATCAGCTGTCTGATCTACTTTCTATAGTTCTAGTGAGGACGCAGGCAGCAGCGTCTGGATCAGCTGTCTGATCTACTTTCTATAGTTCTAGTGAGGACGCAGGCAGCAGCGTCTGGATCAGCTGTCTGATCTACTTTCTATAGTTCTAGTGAGGACGCAGGCAGCAGCGTCTGGATCAGCTGTCTGATCTACTTTCTATAGTTCTAGTGAGGACGCAGGCAGCAGCGTCTGGATCAGCTGTCTGATCTACTTTCTATAGTTCTAGTGAGGACGCAGGGAGCAGCGTCTGGATCAGCTGTCTGATCTACTTTCTATAGTTCTAGTGAGGACGCAGGGAGCAGCGTCTGGATCAGCTGTCTGATCTACTTTCTATAGTTCTAGTGAGGACGCAGGCAGCAGCGTCTGGATCAGCCTGTCTGATCTACTTTCTATAGTTCTAGTGAGGACGCAGGGAGCAGCGTCTGGATCAGCTGTCTGATCTACTTTCTATAGTTCTAGTGAGGACGCAGGCAGCAGCGTCTGGATCAGCTGTCTGATCTACTTTCTATAGTTCTAGTGAGGACGCAGGCAGCAGCGTCTGGATCAGCTGTCTGATCTACTTTCTATAGTTCTAGTGAGGACGCAGGCAGCAGCGTCTGGATCAGCTGTCTGATCTACTTTCTATAGTTCTAGTGAGGACGCAGGCAGCAGCGTCTGGATCAGCTGTCTGATCTACTTTCTATAGTTCTAGTGAGGACGCAGGAAGCAGCGTCTGGATCAGCTGTCTGATCTACTTTCTATAGTTCTAGTGAGGACGCAGGCAGCAGCGTCTGGATCAGCCGTCTGATCTACTTTCTATAGTTCTAGTGAGGACGCAGGCAGCAGCGTCTGGATCAGCTGTCTGATCTACTTTCTATAGTTCTAGTGAGGACGCAGGCAGCAGCGTCTGGATCAGCTGTCTGATCTACTTTCTATAGTTCTAGTGAGGACGCAGGCAGCAGCGTCTGGATCAGCTGTCTGATCTACTTTCTATAGTTCTAGTGAGGACGCAGGCAGCAGCGTCTGGATCAGCTGTCTGATCTACTTTCTATAGTTCTAGTGAGGACGCAGGCAGCAGCGTCTGGATCAGCTGTCTGATCTACTTTCTATAGTTCTAGTGAGGACGCAGGCAGCAGCGTCTGGATCAGCTGTCTGATCTACTTTCTATAGTTCTAGTGAGGACGCAGGCAGCAGCGTCTGGATCAGCTGTCTGATCTACTTTCTATAGTTCTAGTGAGGATGCAGGCAGCAGCGTCTGGATCAGCTGTCTGATCTACTTTCTATAGTTCTAGTGAGGACGCAGGCAGCAGCGTCTGGATCAGCTGTCTGATCTACTTTCTATAGTTCTAGTGACGACGCAGGCAGCAGCGTCTGGATCAGCTGTCTGATCTACTTTCTATAGTTCTAGTGACGACGCAGGCAGCAGCGTCTGGATCAGCTGTCTGATCTACTTTCTATAGTTCTAGTGAGGACGCAGGCAGCAGCGTCTGGATCAGCTGTCTGATCTACTTTCTATAGTTCTAGTGACGACGCAGGCAGCAGCGTCTGGATCAGCTGTCTGATCTACTTTCTATAGTTCTAGTGAGGACGCAGGCAGCAGCGTCTGGATCAGCTGTCTGATCTACTTTCTATAGTTCTAGTGACGACGCAGGCAGCAGCGTCTGGATCAGCTGTCTGATCTACTTTCTATAGTTCTAGTGAGGACGCAGGCAGCAGGGTCTGGATCAGCTGTCTGGTCTACTTTCTATAGTTCTAGTGACGACGCAGGCAGCAGCGTCTGGATCAGCTGTCTGATCTACTTTCTATAGTTCTAGTGAGGACGCAGGCAGCAGGGTCTGGATCAGCTGTCTGATCTACTTTCTATAGTTCTAGTGAGGACGCAGGCAGCAGCGTCTGGATCAGCTGTCTGATCTACTTTCTATAGTTCTAGTGAGGACGCAGGCAGCAGCGTCTGGATCAGCTGTCTGATCTACTTTCTATAGTTCTAGTGAGGACGCAGGCAGCAGCGTCTGGATCAGCTATCTGATCTACTTTCTATAGTTCTAGTGAGGACGCAGGCAGCAGCAACTCGATCAGCTGTCTGATCTACTTTCTATAGTGCTAGTGAGGACGCAGGCAGCAGCGTCTGGATCAGCTGTCTGATCTACTTTCTATAGTTCTAGTGAGGACGCAGGCAGCAGCGTCTGGATCAGCTGTCTGATCTACTTTCTATAGTTCTAGTGAGGACGCAGGCAGCAGCGTCTGGATCAGCTGTCTGATCTACTTTCTATAGTTCTAGTGAGGACGCAGGCAGCAGCGTCTGGATCAGCTGTCTGATCTACTTTCTATAGTTCTAGTGAGGACGCAGGCAGCAGCGTCTGGATCAGCTGTCTGATCTACTTTCTATAGTTCTAGTGAGGACGCAGGCAGCAGCGTCTGGATCAGCTGTCTGATCTACTTTCTATAGTTCTAGTGAGGACGTAGGCAGCAGCGTCTGGATCAGCTGTCTGATCTACTTTCTATAGTTCTAGTGAGGACGCAGGCAGCAGCGTCTGGATCAGCTGTCTGATCTACTTTCTATAGTTCTAGTGAGGACGCAGGCAGCAGCGTCTGGATCAGCTGTCTGATCTACTTTCTATAGTTCTAGTGAGGACGCAGGCAGCAGCGTCTGGATCAGCTGTCTGATCTACTTTCTATAGTTCTAGTGAGGACGCAGGCAGCAGCGTCTGGATCAGCTGTCTGATCTACTTTCTATAGTTCTAGTGAGGACGCAGGCAGCAGCATCTGGATCAGCTGTCTGATCTACTTTCTATAGTTCTAGTGAGGACGCAGGCAGCAGCGTCTGGATCAGCTGTCTGATCTACTTTATATAGTTCTTGTTCTGTATAGGTCGATTGCTGCATGGATCGATTCTACTAAAGATGAACGAAGCAGGAAGTAGTTTTTTAACATCAGTCCTTAAATCCTGCAGATGTTCTTCAGGTGATAGAAGCTCCACTGTGTTCCTGTCTCTATGAGCCTCTGAAGGTTCAGGTCCGAGTCCAGATTTAGGGCCTGGTTGCTGCTTCTAGCTGAATTAGCTGAAGCTGGATGCTAACGTTGAAACGTTCTTCCTTTGGTCCAGAAACTGTGATTCAGCTGAAGAACATTTAGTTCATCCATGCTTTGGTTTCTTCTCTGCATTTATCTGGAATGGGTTCATAGTCACCTGGTGACACGGAGATGACCAGCAGTGTGTGGTCTGCGTCGCCATGGTAGCTGATGTTTATTCAGATCTAAGTGAGGGGGAGCCAGGGGCGGATTTAGGAAATGTGGGGCCCTAGGCAGAGACAGGCAGGGGCCCCTCTGAATGGAGAAGACAACAGATAGAACAGCCCCATTCTCCAGATGTAGAAATTTTAATAGAATAGACATCCATTATCTGTTCTAGGTTGTGTCCCTCTCTTCTTGTCCCTTTTCTTCTTGTTTTCCTCTCTATGTTTTGTACTCAGCTGACTTTTCATGCTGTCTCTAAAGGAATGAAAGATTTTTTCCAAGCACTAAGCTCACTTAGCTGATTGCTCCTTCCTGTGTTTCCAAAAAGGCCAAAGTAAATAACCCAGTCCTTCTTTTCACTGTAGACAAGCCATGATCTGCTTATCTGTTCTCCATTTTTCATTTGGATGAAATAATAGCTGCATGAATCATGACAGCAGACAAGATAGAGGAGAGCAGGAGGCGGGGTTACCAATCTACTGGCTCTGGAGAGCAGAGTTCGCTGCTTTTAGATGTTGTCTCCAAAGTCTCCAGTAGCAGAAAAAAGTCTCTAGATTTGGCGCTAGGAGCTTTTTAGAAATCAAAGTGCTAGAGGGGTCTGAAAAGTGGCTAAATATAGCGACTAAAGCGCTAAGTTGGCAACACTGCTCTTTGCATGGTTTGTTTTCAAATGGTTTGCTGCTGTCTGTTTGGACCTTTCTGAACATGTGCAGCAAATGGACTGATCCAATATGGTGGACACTGAAGGGGGGGGGGGCTGAGACACACTTAATATTATCAGCGTTCATTAAGGAACAGAGAACATTAAAGAACACAGACATAAAACGCATAGAATGAGGACAGACGGGTGATTGGCAGAGAGCTTCATGCTAGCCATGGTGATCAATAATAATTCCTCTATTTAAAGCTGACTGTTAGCGGACTGCTGCAAAAACCGGTCTCTATGGCAACTATGTCCTTCATGCACAGGAAATGTCCGAAATTCAGAGACAAACAGAGGCGTCACGTAACAAAGTATAAATACTTCATTACCTTCCTTAAGTAGAAATGTTTTTTATCTATATCTTACTGGAGTCATTATTCTTTAGACAACTTTCTACTCCTTACATTATAGAAATAGACTCGTTAGTTTTCATTTAAGCTCATTTTCATGATGGGGATGCTGAACAGGAGCGGCCCACAGATGGGGCCTTGGGGAACGCCACATTGGATCATTGTGGTTCTGATGGAAAGCTACCTGCTAACTCTGAATAGATGATTCAATCTTCAATGTTTTTTTTCCCTTTCAGGGTAATTTACCCAAATATTCCCACAATGCACTGGTGGTCCAGGCCATGAAGACCAACCTGACCGACCCCGACATGCACGTTCTCTTCTTTGACGTGGAGGCGCTGATCATCCAGCTTCTGACAGAGGAGGCCCAAAGGCCCAACCCCACGCTGGTGTCTCCTGAGACCCTACAGAAGAGTCAGGCGGGGGCCGACAAGGGGGGGTCCTTCCTGGCCAATAAGATCTTCAAACAGGTCCGTACCGAGCGTGTCTCAAAAACCAGTGTCCATTTCCCCGCTGACAAACCTCTGCTTCATCCAGGTGAAGGAGACCATGAAGGAGACCATCAAAGAACATCTGCTGGACGAAGACGAGGAGGAGGAGGAGGAGATGAGGAGGCGCGAGGAGAAGTCCAAGTCTCTGAGTCTGCTGGAGTACAACCTGACCATGGACACGGCCAAGCTCTTCATGTCCTGTCTGCACGCCTGGGGCCTCAACGAGCAGCTGGACGGTATCTGCCTGGAGCGGCTGGGCATGCTCCGACCGCACTGCCCCATCTCCTTCGGCCTGATCTCCAGGGGGGGACACATGTCCCTCATGCTGCCCACCTTCAAGGTCACACAGCCGCTCACAGCTTCTTTTGGTTTATAGAAAAAACAAAAACAGTAGAACCTTCTTTCCCGTCTAAATATTTCACATTTTTATTTTAGATTTTCACTGCAAAAAACAAATCATTTTAGTTTTTCACCGTCGCCTCTTTATATTTCTATATTCTTAGTAGACCTCCTCTCTGATGTTCCTGGTTCAGTGTGAAGAAACGTCCTGTTTTATTTTCCCAGGAATCCCTGCTGCGCCAGCTGTCCGTGGCCACAGGTCTGAAGCTCGCCCTGTCCGACATCGTGGGGAAGGGGACGTACGGCGTGTCCAGGGCCGTCACCACGCAGCACCTGCTGTCCGCCATCTCCCTGGCCAACACGCTGATGGGCATGACCAACGCCACCTTCGTAGGAGAGCACATGAAGAAGGCGCCGGCCAGGTGAGCCCAATCAGCCCCTGGTTCAGAGAACATGTCCGTCAGACTGACTCCTGATCCGCCATCAGTGATTCTGGAGCAGCAGCAGGATTCACGGCTGATTGTTTAGTCTGTGTGAGTTCTCATTGTGCGCTGAAAGATTTAACAGCAGGTCGACGCCTCGCTGCCCTAACAGCAACGCAACATTTCATCATCACCTGCTTCAAGGAGAGCTCAGCTGGGAGGGGAGGGAGGCCAGAGTCCCCCCCACCCCCCCAGCTGTTTTAGCTTCAACTGGTTGAAAAAACTCTAATAAACAACTTTATTTATAATAGATTATTAATGGATTAATAAAATATTGGGCAGAATATTCAATTCTATTCAGTTTATTTCTATAGCTCCAATTCACATCATGTCATCTCAGGTCACTTTCCAGTTCACCAGATCATCCAGTCAGATTGATTCAAAGTTTTCTATCTAAGGAAAACCAGCTGATTGCATCGACTCATTGACTCTTCAGCAATCCCTCACACTAAGCATGCTTGTAGCGACAGTGGAGAGGAAAAACTCCCTTTGAACAGGAAGAAACCTCCAGCAGAACCAGGCTCAGTGTGAGCGGCCATCTGCTGAGGCCCACTGGGGTTCAAGGAGACAGAAGCAGACATAGAAAAAGAAGCATAGATACAAAAGGCAACTGGCAACCAGCTCCACAGGCGGCCCCGTCCAGGAAACACACAGCCAGGCAGACGAGCTCCGAGCCAGCTCCCATGTCAGAGGATGAAGAGAGCACATCCAGTTAGTCACAGTCAGAGAAACAGGACTACACTGGAAAACAGGCCAAGCTCCAACATCTAGAAACAAAGGTGTTGATGGCAGCAGCACAGCTGATATTTCTCTCCAGGATGGAGTCACAGCCAAACAGGAACACAACTGAAGGGGTTAAATAACCAAATACTGTATTTTTTATAGTATTTAAAGCTTTTTCTTGTTTTTCTTCTAAAAAGTGCATATAGTTTTAAAAAAACAACTCATGTTTTTGGAGTGCTTTAATTCAAAATAGGCTAAAAACGTCTTTGACTTTTAACTTTCCGATACAATGATGTTTGACCCAACATTCAGAGCATCTGTCGGCTGGCAGCCGGTTTCACATCTCTGGAAACTCTTCATCACAAAACATCAACCTGATCGATTTAGAAACAAAAGTCAGAAATGGAAACCAACATGGCTGAGGTTTAGATGTTCACCCTAAACTCTGCGCCTCGCTGCAGATCTTCATCCCTGCAGTTCATTTCTCTTTCCTTCATCTTTTCCAGCAGCAGATCTCTGCATCAAAGCCTCAGACCTGCTAAGTTCCTCTCTAGGTTTTCATTAATCCTGGGAAAGTGAGGCGCTTATTGAACACGAGACAAAGTCCTCCGGCTTCAACATTTAAACTAAATAAAGAAGGAAAGTCGATGTTAAGCGCAGAGCGAATGGAGATCAAAAACCAGACAACGTGAGCTTAGCTCAGACAAGCCTGAGTTTGTTTTTAAAGTTGGTGAGGAGGGTGGGGGGGTCAGGGTAGTTAAGAGCAGAGAGGCTCTGATTCAGCTCAGCTGGAGAGAGAAAATATCGACATGGTGTCAGAGAAGCATCAGTCCCTCAGGTAGGCATTAAAACCTGCCCAAAATCCCTGGAGACTCTGATCCGAGCTTTGATTCACCGGGGCCTCTCACATCAACCACAGGAGCGGGGGGGGGGGGCCGAGCAGGGGGCCCCAAAAACTTTAAAAAGCCAGCGCTGTCAGAATGTAAACGCTGCTGCCTCCCTGTTCAATGATCAGTCCCGCTTTAAAGCGGCGCTGCAGCTTAAAGCCAGATCAGGACGACTAACGGGGGGATTGCTGGGATCATGGAGAGGATCAGGTGTGTTTGGACGGAGCTCAGAGATCAACGAACACGCTGAAAGAAGTTAGAGGGCCGCCTTTCACACAGTGGATCAAAAACGGGGCTTTTTATTTGCAAAATTCATTTATTGTTTTCAGGAATTCATTTCTAAAAGCAAAAAAAAAAAAAAAATCACATCTTAAGCCCCAGTTAAAGATTAGACCAGCGTCTGCCTGACGTACGAAACATCTAAGAAAAACGTTTCTATACGGCGGATAAGTTATGAACACGCTGAAACATGTCGACATACATGGCATCAACGCATGCCAGCGTATGTGTCCCTACCCGATCCGTTTTCTATCTAAGGAAAACCAGCTGATTGCATCGACTCATTGACTCTTCAGCAATCCCTCACACTAAGCATGCTTGTAGCGACAGTGGAGAGGAAAAACTCCCTTTGAACAGGAAGAAACCTCCAGCAGAACCAGGCTCAGTGTGAGCGGCCATCTGCTGAGGCCCACTGGGGTTCAAGGAGACAGAAGCAGACATAGAAAAAGAAGCATAGATACAAAAGGCAACTGGCAACCAGCTCCACAGGCGGCCCCGTCCAGGAAACACACAGCCAGGCAGACGAGCTCCGAGCCAGCTCCCATGTCAGAGGATGAAGAGAGCACATCCAGTTAGTCACAGTCAGAGAAACAGGACTACACTGGAAAACAGGCCAAGCTCCAACATCTAGAAACAAAGGTGTTGATGGCAGCAGCACAGCTGATATTTCTCTCTGGAGTCACAGTATTCCATTAGGAAAATAATCAGTAGCCCCATCTTCTTCTTTTTAGTTGTTGTTGCTTCTGGGCGGTGACGCTGCTGACGATCCCAAACCGCCGCTGATGGATCTGCTGATGAGCTGAGGGAGCTCCAGAAGAATCAGAATCTCTGTTTTTTTTGTTTTACGCCACTAGTGGCTCGTTTTTTGTACGGTGGGCTGATGGGTAAGGGGGAGAGACATGCAGCAAAGGACCACAGGTTGGATTTGAACCTGGGTCGGCCACACCGGGGACTAAGGCCTCCGTACATGGGTGGTGCTTCCGTGGCGCAGTGGTTAGCGCGGCCAACCCAAGAATCTGAATTCTAATCGTTCTTTGTTGAACTTTTCTGAGGTCTTAGAACGCTTTGCTGTTGTTTTAAAAAATCATTGCTTTGCAGTTCCTGAAGCTTCATTCCATCAATCCCAGAATAAATGATGAAGAATCTTCCTTGGAAACGTCTCCCTGAAGCTGCAGCTCTGGATAACCGTCTGAACGTTCAAATTAAATTAATTAAATTAAACTTTTTAAATGATTGGAGAATCAGTTCAGATAAACAGCAGGAAGAATCAGTCCCTGATGTTCTGAAGCTGACGGCTCGTTATGAAGCGTCAGGTGATCCTCGTCTGGAGGAGACGGATCAGAGCTGGAAGACAAACAAGACTGGAGGCCGTGATGAAATACTAAAACCCTCCACTGCCGCGCTCGCACAGAGCAGCTCCATAAATCCCAGATGGGAGACATGAAAAATCCAAAAAGCAAAACACCGTCAAATATTCACCAGCGCAGGTTTGAGTGTTGGAAATAAAAACAGACTGAGAGAAGATCCTACTTCTGCTTCTCTAACGAGGTGGAAGCAGAAGGAGAGTTCTGACTTCAGAGGAAGCTGAAAACATCCGATAAGTTCCAACCTGGATCGGTTTCAGCACCTTTCCACTCCTCTGATGGAGGAAACTAAACGTCTGTTGTGCTACGGGAGCCTGAGAGGCCCGGAAACGCATCAGGAAACCTAAACTTGGTCTCATTTGGTCCCTTTGAGGCGTTTTGATGAATGCATTAACTGAATGAAGTAGAGATTAAAGAAGGAACCCAGAATGATTTCCACCATGAGAATAATCGGCCCTCTTTACTCTGATACCCTTTAGGAGCATTAAATGCTCTTATAACCACAGTCTGGGTGAATACTTGATTCTGATTGGCTGCTAGGACACCCTTCCTCCCCACTGTCCCCCAGTTAGGAACTGCTCCAGTCTCTTTAATCCATGTCCATTTTAACCGGACTAAAATGCTTTAAATGCTCTATGTTTGGAGCACGGTGGTAGGTTGGTCATGATGTGGGGTGCTGGTTTGAGTTTTGATTGACGGGTGTTGCGGCTGTCTGGCTGTATCTGCTGCTTTGTTTTGTTTTTTCACCTTTTCATAATGTGATGCGGTCAAGTTCAGGACGACAGGATGAAAGGAAAATGTTGCTCAGTTCCTTTTTAAAATAGACCAGATCAGACCAGATCAGACCGGCCCAGACCGGACCTCTTTACAGAACCAAAACCAAAACTGAGAGTCCTTATTCTTTTAATTTAATTGTTTATTAAACTCTGAACCAGATTTCAGTTTTGATTATTGATAATTAAAAGTAAAAGTATGTTTAAAGATTGATCCTTCATTGGGTTCACCTCCACCATGGTCTGTACTTTGACCCGGTCTTCAGAACGGTCTAGTCAAAGTAGCGACCAGAATCCAGCTGATGATCTGTGAAGTAATCTATAAATATTCTGCCTCTTTGTCTGAAGAGGCGTATTTTAAAGTTTGGATCTAGTTCTGGTCGGAGCGTCTCTGGGTTGATCCGGTTCCTCCCTGATGTTCTCAGACCCAGAACAGCTGGAGGGTTAAATCCCGCCTTCATGCTGCTGCTGGTTCTCCTGGATGTGCACCGATCCACCCGACAGCGAGCCGATCAGAACCTGGTAGAGATTCTGGAGGCTCTGCTGACAGAGGGCTTAGTGGAAGGATCAGTACCAGGACCTCTGGTTCCTCTGGTTGTTCTGGTTCCTCTGGTTCTGGTTCCTCTGGTTCTGGTTCCTCTGGTTGTTCTGGTTCCTCTGGTTCGTGTGGTTCTGGTTCTGGTTTGTGTGCTTCTGGTTCGTGTGGTTCTGGTTCTGGTTCCTGTGGTTCTGGTTCTGGTTCCTGTGGTTCTGGTTCTGGTTCCTGTGGTTCTGCCCCGTCTGCAGAGATGGGAAGTAACGAAGTACAAATACTTCGTTACTGTACTCAAGTAGATTTTTCTGATATTTTTACTTTACTTTACTACTTATTTTTATGGCGACTTTTTACTTCTACTCCTTACATTTTTACACAAATATCTGTACTTTCTACTCCTTACATTTTAAAAAATTGTCTCGTTACTTTAGTTTTGAATCATTTCAATGGAGTTACCGTTATTATTTTTCACGTCATCAATACCAAATTCAATCTAATTGGATGGGAATCTACGTTGCATTTGACGCACCACTACAAGATGAATCGACAGATTCGGCGGTATTCATTGGCGGCAAATCATTGCAGCTTGGTGGCGGTGGCGTTAGCATAGTAGCATGGACGACGAGATGATTGAAAATGAACACAACGGAGATCTAGAATCCGTTTCGTATTCTAGATCTGAGCTTAGAATTGATATATGAAAAACAAATCCTTTTTTCGTTTTTGGTTTAACCATAAAAAACAAAAAACAAAATAACCAGTCAATTTTTTATTTTTTGTTTTTTGATTGACAATTGAAAATAGAAAGAACGAATGATACACGGAGATCTAGTCCTATTGGCAGACATCCATTTAAAATGTAGGCAACGGCATGAAAAAAGTGGTTTCTACTTTTACTTTTATACTTTAAGTAAATTTACAAGCCTGTACTTTGTTACTTTTACTTGAGTAAAGAAGTTTAATCAGTACTTCCACTTTTACCAGAGTATTTTTTAACACAAGTATCTGTACTTTTACTCAAGTACGGAAAGTGAGTACTTTTGCCATCTCTGCCCGTCTGTGAGTTCCATGCTGTCCTCTTCCTGGCTAGCAGTGATTTGTTGCCTAGCAACCCCTATTGATCCCTGCATTGATCGTTGTATTGGAAGTGTTTTGGTGTGTCTCTCTGAAAGTTGGGCGCCTCCAGTCTGTCCAGAAAGAACCGGGTCTTAAATCCGACAGGCTGGAGCCCGGCGGCTCACCAGAACCGGGCCGTCTGGGTCTGCAGCAGAGTGAGACCTCCCTCCCGCCGTCTGCTTTGGATCTTTTCAGTTTTCCTCTGTCTGTTTCTCTCCTTACTACCGCGTTAATATTTGATGCCTCCTCTTTGTGATCCCCCCTCCCCCCCTCCAGGCCCCCCAGACCAGGAGGAACCCCAGAGTCTCCTCGGAGGACGTCTGCCGCCCCCCCTCAGCCCTCCAACCCGGCGCTGCAGGCACAGATCAAACAAGGTAACTACAAAAGGAGGGGGCGCTCGCTGCGCTCGCCCCTGAGGCCCTGCAAGGTGATGGGGACGGGTGGGGTGGGGGGGTCTGATAACGCAGCCCATCGGCGGTAAACCCAGCCGAGAACGGGGGGGGGGGGGGGGGGGGGGGGGGGGGGGGGGGGGGGCGGGGCTGTTCTGTTGTTTCTGACACAGAGGTGGAAAACTTCAGCAAACAGGAAGCAGTTAGAGGGCCTGAGGGCCATCTGACCCCAGCAGGTAGGATCCTGACTACCCCTCATAACCCCGTCCTCCTCCCAGAACTTCACTCCTTTCCACCTGATTTGTTTCCTTGGTTGGAAAACTTTTATTTTTATTTATCTCGGCAGGTTTAGGTTCATTTAGTGAAGAAGTTGTGGAGGAGAGAAGCTGCTGCTGCTGCTGGTCACCGTAGGGGATGTTTTAACCAGCTGTCACCATCTGCCCACTACACACCCACACACATCTACCTCCCACACCGACAGCAGCTCAGCCGGACACACACGCACACACACACACACACACACCGACCAGTAGCTGGCTGGAGGCGGGGCTTCGCCGCTATTGTCACTCCTTAATTGAGGCCAAGCATGACAAGCGTGTGGACTTATTCATAGCACACGCCTATTCAGAGGAAAAGGGCGGCCGTGACCCGGCTCGGCCCGCTCCTGCTCCTCCTCCTCCTCCTCCTCCTCCTCCTCCTCCTCCTCCTCCTCCTCCTCCTCCTCCTCCTCCTCCTCCTCCTCCTCCTCCTCCTCCTCCTCCTCCTCGGCTTTGTGAAGCAAAGCGCTGTTAACCCTGCGCTCCTCCTCCTTTCACATGGAAATGAAATGAGGAGGCCCCCCTGATAAACTGCAGCAGGAACACACGGAGTTTCCAATCAGCTCGACTCGGATGCTGGAATGACATCCCGTTTTTCCTGAATGGAAACAATGGAGAGATTTTCTGCAGTTTAGCTCTGCTTGTTGCAGTTCGGCTTCATATTTCCTGCAGCGTTAACACGGCTCAGGCTAAAACAGGTGTATTCCGCAGAGCTTTGCTGTTGTACAAAGGATTAAAAAGTTAAACCACAAAACAAATGAGCAGAAAGTCAGGAACAGACGACTAAATGGTGATAAGTTGGAAAAGCAAAGAACAGAGGAAAAGTCCTTTCTGTCGTCTTTCTGGTGTGTTTTGTTGGAGATAAGCCCAAAGGTTGGGCTGCAGAGATTTGAGCAGATGTTAAAGAACCGATCAGTATCTGTCAAAGATCCACTCCTGGTTTTAGCTCAGAGACTTGGACAGGTGATACAGCCGAGCCGTTATCTAGAAACGAACGGGATCCAAGAAGGAGGTCAGAGGGAAACTTTCCTGTCAGACTGCTAACCTCGCTTCGTTCAGCCCTTTGATGACATTAATCTGCAGAGACTTTAGCAGGAGGCTGTAAATTCTACCTCTGCTCAGACAGACCCCTCTCTGCTTCTATTAGCTTCTGTTTGTGGAATGATTGCTTGAAGTGATAAATAAATACAAAAACACCACAAAAAAGACTGATCTGATCTCACATTCTAACACCTGGTCTGCAGCCCTGACTCATCCATGACTCCTCTTTCAATCTTCCCTTACTCCTCTCTGATTCCTCTCTGGCTTGTGGTTTTTATGTCCCTGTTGCTTTTGTTACTTGTCTCAAATCATAAGTAAGTCAGATTGTAATTATAATGTACCTTTTAACTGAAAAAAATCTGTCTTTTACAAGACATAAACCACAAAAAAATAAAAACAACACAATTCAAAGCTTCTCTGTACAAACAAGTATTCCCTGATTACTTTCTGTTTAATCCTTGACTCATCTCTGACTCCTCTCTAACTCCTCTCTGACTCCTCCCTGACTCCTCCCTGAGTTTTCTCTGACTCATCTCTGACTCCTCTCTAACTCCTCTCTGACTCTTCCATGGCTCTTCCTGAATCTGTCCTGACTTGTCTCTGTCTCCTCCTTGACTCTTCCCTGACTCATCTCTGACTCATCTCTGACTCCTCTCTGACTCCTCTCTGACTATTCCATGGCTCTTCCTGAATCTGTCCTGACTTGTCTCTGTCTCCTCCTTGACTCTTCCCTGACTTGTTAGTGACTCGTCTCTGACTCATCTCTGACTCTTCCCTGACTCATCTCTGACTCTTCCCTGACTCCTCTCTGACTCCTCTCTGACTATTCCATGGGTCTTCCTGAATCTGTCCTGACTTATCTTTGACTCCTCCTTGACTCTCCCCTGACTTGTTAGTGACTTGTCTCTGACTCCTCCTTGACTCTCCCCTGACTTGTTAGTGACTTGTCTCTGACTCCTCCTTGACTCTTCCCTGACTTGTTAGTGACTCGTCTCTGACGCTTCCCTGACTCATCTCTGACTCTTCCATGGCTCTTCCTGAATCTGTCCTGACTTGTCTCTGTCTCCTCCTTGACTCTTCCCTGACTTGTTAGTGATTTGTCTCTGACTCCTTTTTGACTCCTCTCTGACTCTTCCTTGACTCCCTGAATCTCCCCTGACTCCTCCCTGCCTCACCTGCCTGCCGGATGATCAATGAGATGTTTTTATGAAACAAATCCATTTGTCTTTTATTGAAGTGTTGAAGGTTTCTAGGAAACTTCTGGTTCCTCAATGACTTCAGCCACTGAGAAAAGGTGCAGTGCCCCCGTCCACCTCTAGAGGAGCTCTAGTTTATTGGCATCTGGTTCCTGAGGGATTCAGGTGTAGAGCTTTCAATGAATCATGGTTAGCTCTGAAGCAATGAGGCTTTTATCCCAGTCTGTAGGAAAGAAGGAAATGAGTTTGGCTTTGATTCTTGTCAGGACCCTGGTTAGGACCCTCACTCATGAACAACAGGACAAAACTCAAACAGGTGGCTGAAGGGAGCGCCCTCTGTGGTGGGGGGGGACTCTCAGATCCTGGTACAGAGTCAGAACTATGGAAGGGGAATGTGTAACCAGGAAGTGATGGAGAGTCTTTCTCTCCGTTCCTTTTTTGGCTTCTTCTCAGGCGTCATGCCTTCAGCTCAGCGTGGTTCGATGACTCCAGGCCTGCTATCAGAACTGAAACCCTAAACTCAGCTTCCTGTGGCTCTTCTTCTGTGTCTGAATGTTAATTTTATTCATTGCCTGTCTTTTTTTCTTTGACTTCCTTCTTCCTCTCAGCGTTTCTTTTCTCTTGCTCTGGTTAATGTTTACATCTTTCTAACCGGTTCTTTTCTTCTCGACTATTTCTCTCCCTGTCTTCCTCTACAAGCTGCCAGCTCCAGTACTTCCACCACTGCTGGGGGTGTGGGGGCCCCATGGGGCCAGCCTCAGGGGGCCCCTGGCTCCCCCAGCCCCGGCCCTGCTTCTCATAACATCCCCTCAGTCAACGAAGGTACAGACTGATCAGGTGGCGACGCTCAGGGAAAGTTTGCAGCCGGTCTGCAGAGAGCTGCTGCTTTCCAGACCTCCATTTTTTTCCTCCCATTTCCTTTCCTCTTTCACCTCCTCGCTTCTGTCTCTGTCCTTCGTCCTCATCAGTCCTCGCCTCGTCTCTGCTCCTGTGTGTCGGCCCCCGTTCCAATCTGGCCACTTTGTTTCTCCTTCCTTGCATCAGTGTTTGCTTTCACCTCAGGTCTTTAGCTCCAGTCTTTGCCGACTGCGTCCTTGTTTTTGAGACAAAGCCTGTTGTTCTGTCTGCGTTTGTCTCAGTTCACTGTCAAATCAATTAATGTTTCAATTTAAAGGCAGCCAAACCCTTTTTGGAAAATAGCAGCGAATGTTTGAACCTGACTGAATCAGTCCTCCTCAGGTTTCTGGGATATTTGGAAACACGGCATTTTGCAGAATTCCTGAGTCCGTCAGCACTTTGTGTCCCTGGCAGCGATAGAAAGTGTTAAACAAGTCGAACATTGATCTATTCTAAAGCTTCTCCAGCAGGTAAAAAGGATTCATTCCCAGATGTTCCTCCTGCTGCGTCAAACAGAAGGTTTCTCCTTTATTTAGAATCAACACCTAAAGTAATATTTCAGCCAGAGATGCAGCGATCCATTTTTTTTCTGATCCAGTCAGAAAACGATACCTGGTCTGGGCGTTTCCGCCGATATTCGATCCCGATCCGATTCAACTGTTAAAGGAAAAGTCCAGTCAGAGAGGAATAATCAATGGATCATTATTTATACCTAGAAATAATACGTTTGCAGTAATTTAATGAATTTAGCGTTAATCAGTAAAAAGATAAAAACAATATTTTTGTTGCGATCACTGATGCCGTTTTTCAATTCACAAGAACACGAGTACGGACTCGTGTACTCGCCGAGTCAGTTCTTGACTAGAACCCAGTAAAGTCTGGACTCGGGGAGAGCGGGAGCAGAATAAATCTGGGTCAACTGGAACTGAGCGTTCTGATGACATCACCACATTCAAAGCTCGTCTGGAGCTGCATTTCACCTCCTATTATTAATAGTCTCTAGAATCTAGAGTCAAAAAGTCAGAATTTATTATTATCTAGAGTCTAGATAACAATCAATTATGACTTTTTTAATGTATTGGGGAAATAATAATAAACAGTCAGATAAACGGGTTAGGGTCTCGCCTCAAATGATCTTAAAAATACTTTTATTGAGCAACAGAAAAGAGAACTTTTCAATGGAGCACTCCATTGAAAGCTGTCGCTGCCGCAGTGCATGCTGGGTAAAGAGGGAGGGGCCAGAACAACATCCGCAGACTTTGTCCTTTCTCGGTGCACTGCTCTAGTGAACTGGAACAGTGCTAGTGCTGAGGATGATGACATTTCACAAGGACGCACAAGGACACATAGTGAGAAACAGAGGTGGGAGGAGCCAAGCCAGAGCCCCCAGGCTCTGCTTCCTCAATGGAAGATGTGTTGGTGGGCTTAAGGAGGTCTTCGAAGTACTCCACTCACCGACATACGACGGTCCGAGTCGAGGTCAGCAGCACACCCCCCCCCCCCACTATAAACAGGTTGGTACTGCACCGCTTCCCCCTCCTGAGACGCCGGATCGTGGACCAGAATTGCTTCGAAGTCGTGAGGCTTCGAAGGAGGACTTTCTCACTTCAAAATAGATTCAAACTACTTTTTACAGCAAATATAGCCCCCATTGTTCCAGGCAAAGAAAGGATAGAGTAGCTCCGCCCAACGCGCATCAGACCCACTTTTACACCGTGCACCTGGAGCAGCAAAGATGCTTCAACCGTGCGTCAGAACTAAACTGGTACAAGCATCAAAAATAAGCAGCACGCGGGTTTTTGCTGCTTCTGCTGCCTGCGGTCTGAACGCAACATAATACTCACTGGTACCTTGGACTGCTCCACCTAAAGCTCAGGCTTTGTGCTGTTTGGAGAAGGAAATCTGCTTGTTACGCCAGATTTTCAGTCTTGTTTTAGTGACTCTTAAGTTCTGAGGTGTGTTTGGTCACATGCAACACCCTGAACTAGGAAATCCTAAAAAAAAGAACCAAGTTCTGACTCAGTTGGAAATCTGTGTTTTAGAAAAATGCGCTGCTTGGACCCGAGTCACCAGCAGGGATTACTCTGCTGATGAGAAGTGGAATAAATGAGCAATCTGTAGCTGCAACAAATCACTCAACTTTTCAGATTCATCATTTGACCCCAAACGGTAAAATCTAAGAGATTATTTTAAATAATCTTGGTCTCAAAATGGGTAAAATCTGATTATTCATGTAAGAACTCAGACAAAACCTTCTGAGCATAACGACCTGGAAGCTGATATCCTCCAAATGTTTTACTAATCTGCTGCTTGGGTAGCAAAACTGTTTAGTTGTACATGAAAAGGTCATCAAAACCAATTAAATGGATGTTTTGCTAAACAGTGAAAACTAAGGTTTTACCTTTGCATTGTGCAAAGAATACAACTGTTGAGGAAGATCACTTTAAGAATATCCAGTCTTCCTCCTCAAAGGTTAAAAAAAAGATTCACTCAAAATTTTTGCACAGTTGTAGAAATAAAACGCAGATAAAAAAACAACCTAAGAATGTGATTTTTATTCCAGTCTAAGTTTAAATAAATTGTTTGTTTGTCAATAGAAAAAGCCGTGACTGAAGGGTTTGAAAGTGAACTGAGCCAGCTGTGTTGTGATACGTTGTTGTGTTCGTTGGTCTCTGCTTTGCAGTGTTGTGAACTCCTTCCTTGTTTTTCTTTTAGTCCTGATGTTTCAGTCACTCTGTGCTGTTTGCATGCTTGCTGTTTCAGTCATGTAGAAGAGGGGAATGGGTCTAAAACTCGAACACCATGCAGGCCAGAGAGGCCTGCATTTCCACCAGCACTTCATCTGAGACTGCATTTGGTTTGAAGCTGGCGAAAGGTCGAACCGTAACTGATGCTTTATCTAATTTTTCAGGTTTTACTCAAAATGAGCTTTGTTGCTACTCTGACCTCCAGTGAAGATCATTTTCTTCCCAGTGATCCTACAGCATGCTGGTTTCTATCAGTAAAACCTCACAGAGCCTCGTATTTGGACACACTTTCATATTTATGGAAGGCTTGGGTTTTTATTTATCATATTATACTTTAATGAGCAGCTAACTGAGCTGGTTGAATATTTATTAATGATGGGAACAGCAAGCATGCACACAGCTGTTTATGGCCTGTAGCCAGAATTGTTTTTCTCGAGTTATTAGCATCAACTTAAAATTTAAAAGATGAGAAAAGAGCCGCTGTCCTGCAGAACCCACAGCCGACCTTTTATAGATCTGATGGATGAGGAAAAATGTTGTACTTCAAATGAAAAAAGTTAAGTTTTAAAAATACAAATCAGACTTTATCAAAACTTTCTAGATTTTTCTAGAGTTTTTAGATTTTCTTTACTGCTCATAATTTTCTCATTTTCTGTCCAATTTAAAAAGATCACATTGATAAAACATTAGGAAATATCCAACTAATATGAAAATGTTCATGACGTTTGGGTTCGGGGTTAGGCTTAGGTCCTCAATGCTGGGAGAAAATGTTTAACTCTGAAAACCAAAATCAGATTTATGGAGGATTCTTCCTGCCAGAAACAAACAGCAAACATTTTCTATCTGAGAGCAAGATTTCCTCTATTTCCTCTACTATCAGTAAGCAGTAACATGCAAACTCAGTAGTAGAAAACAAGCACACCACCTTATGAGGCTGTCGTTCTATTGGCTGGAACGGTTGCTAGGCGACCATCCAACTCCAGTCTGAGAGAAACAGTGGCGCCGCCAGGAGTGGCCAACCCGTGCAATGCCCTGGCCACCTCACTGGCCGCCCCTGGCCAGTGTAAATTGTAGCAGCATCAGTTTAGCATTTCCTCCCATTCAGCACTAACCTGACTGCACCAGATGGATTTGCTCCACATATCCATCTGGAAACCTTCCGTTGAAGTAATTTTGGGAAGGGGCGAAAATACTGGTTAGCTGATTGGCCTATGTTGGTGATAGACGGGCCAAATAAACCAATCAGATCAACGAAGCATATGACGTACTAACAGAGCGACGACGAAGAGGAGCCAATTGATAGATCAAACTCTTGCCGAAACCAGTCGGGAGAAGAGCAAAAACATCTTTTCCTCTGAGAAAAGCCTCCAGAGCAGTGTTTTGCTCTTCTTTCAGTGAAGAAATACTCTGTAATTCCCATAAAACTTGCTCGATAGCCACGCTAACGCTAGTTTCATCGGCTGAAGCCGCCATGCTCTTTAGACTGAACTGTCGCGCTTCTCGTTGCGTCACACCTCAACCCGCCTCAAAGCCAACGCTGATTGGACGTTCGTTTGGTGAACGGCTCCAAATTTTCTTTAACGGAGAGTCTCCAGACTGATTAGCGAGTGAAACCTTGAAAGCTCGCGAGATCAGGATGGTCTCACGATGCTAATTCTGCACATCCAACGATGTAACATTAAAAATCACACAATAAACCAGGATCTGAGGAGGTTTTCCTGAAGTCTTTCTGATTTCTACAGGCAGCTTTGCCACTATAGTAGATTCAAACCCTGAAATTATGGCTTTTACTTTCCGTGGCCACCCCAAGATTTTTAGTGGCCCCATCTGGGCCCCCCTATGAGACATCTGTGGAGGCGCCTATTTTCTCCTCTCGGAAACGAGAGGAGAAAATATCTTTGTAAGAAGCATGAGAGCAGAAACAAAGAGTTGATAGAGATGAGAATAGATTTGAGAGAAAGCAGAAGGTCTGAATGCGACCATTACAAGTTTAATGTGCAAGAAGAGGAAAACCTACTCTGAAAATGTGTGATCTTGGTTTTTGGCAGGAAAAATCCTTTATACAGATTGAAAACACAGGTCATCAATCAGACATGTGATCAAAGTGTTAGATGCTACCAAAAAAAATTTAAATTAAACATCTTATTTAACATCATGGTGATGTTTGCTCTGTCCAAGTTAAAGGCAAATCCAAAACACCCCAACATACAGGCAGCATGTAGCATGTGAACAGGAAAAGAAAGGAAAAAACCTGCAGCTAATTTTAGAGCCGACTCCATGAATGTTGGGCAGCATAAATACAAACTCTTTATTCCATGAACTGCTCGTTTTAGGCAACGAAAACTGCTTTGGATTTAAACGGGCTTTAAGAGGGACCTGTTCACAAAAAGACGCTAAAACCCGAACGATAAAACGGCAACACTGAGGGTTAAAACCAGAAACAAAAACAGCAGCAACAAACGTCAGCTGACATCCCAGTTTCTTTAAATAAAACGTTGATAAGAACTAATTTTATATCGTAGGGAAAAAAAAGTTCTTAAAACTTTTTGAAATTAAGTTGAACAAAATCTGACTGAGGTCTGTGGATGTTTGCATCATGTCACCGTCTCTAGACTCAATGAAAAACAAAGGTTTGGCGTTTGATCTAAAGCTTTATTTATTATTCTTTAAGCGTTCTAAATTCATCTAGAGAGTCACAGAGTTTACTGAACAGTTTTAAGATTCTTAAATGACATTACGTGAGAAAATCAGGATTCATAAATAGGAAAACCTGCTTTAAATAATCATTTATTTACATATTAAATAGGACGGGTATGAGGACTGATCCCTGAGGAACACCATCGGCCTAAAGAAGAAAGGAGATACCTGGCTGGTTCACAAGCAGGAAGGATCTGTAGCACATTTCTAAAACCACAGAATTTTAAACGTTTCTAAAGGTTTTTTTTTTAAGCAACAGCTCATTGGAGTTCCAGCAATGCTAGTGCTAGCACTAAGTTTACAACAGGGCTAGTGCTAGCTTTGAAGCAGTTCTAGCGCTAAATTTGCAATGCTAATGCAAGCTTTGCAATGATAGCACTAGTTTTGCCATAGTGCTAGCACTAGCTTTGAAGTGCTAGTGCTAGCTTTGCAATGAAAGCGCTAGTTTTGCTACAGTGCTAGCGCTAGTTTTGCTCTCAGTGCTAGCGCTAGTTTTGCTACGGTGCTAGCGCTAGCTTTGCAGTGCTAGTGCTAGCTTTGCTGTGCTAGAGCTAGCTTTGCAGTGCTAGTGCTAGCTTTGTAGTGCTAGAGCTACCTTTGTAGTGCTAGAGCTAGCTTTGTAGTGCTAGAGCTAGCTTTGCAGTGCTAGTGCTAGCTTTGTAGTGCTAGAGCTAGCTTTGTAGTGCAAGAGCTAGCTTTGCAGTGCTAGTGCTAGTTTAGAAATAATCAGATTATTTTTGTTTCTGTTAAACATTGTGCTGCTGCTTGTTTAAATCTTCTGCTAAGTTGTGCTGATCTTCAGCCGGCACTATACTACAGTCTCTATTTAGGCCAAAATGCTAGCTAACGTTAAAAACATTAACAATACGGGCTAATTAATCAACGTATACCCACAGAAATAGACTCTATTAAATTACGTTAAAAACTAGTTTAATTGATTCTTTAAAGGATAGGCGGAGCAGATTTTCTCATTTAGATGTTTGTCAAAATGAGCTGAAATGTTTCTGAGGTCAGTTTGCTTTTTCTACCTCAAAGGTCAAGAAACATTTTCAACGTTTAAAGTTTCTGCAGGACAGTGTTACAGATTGTTCAGTTAGAGGTTGACCGATAAATCTCATCTAATTTAATCTCAGCACTAAATGTGAAATCAGAATGTGATTTTGGTGTAAATTAAAACTTAAGGCTCGTTTTCATTAAAAAAATCCAAACAAAATGTTTTCTGGTTGATCCTGAAAAGTGAGAACTTCCTGAAACTTCATCCTTTCACCATATTTCACATTTTCTCCTCAGACTGTCTAAACTAAATTAAATTGAGAATAAATCAATCAATCTCTCACTGTTAAAGGCCAAAAGTGCCACGATATAATTCATAAAATTGTATGTAATAAATTATTCTATAGATCTCATCATTAAAATATACATTTTCAGTCATTTGAGACATAATTAGCATCAAAGGCATTAAATACTATTTAAATTGTGTTGCAGAGGAAATATTAATTAATTAGTGTTAAATATTTACATTCTATTTTATTACCAAACTATTATTTTATTTCTAGAAATATATTAATAATTGCTATTTTTGTGTGTTAAGGTTGTTTTATTTAGCTGATTTTAAGCTATGAATTAGTTGGATTGTGGCACTTTTGGGCCCTCGTACTTCTCTGCTGATATTCTTGGTTTTCTCTGTGTTTTTCATGTTGGAAACGGTAAGTTTAATGGTGGAAATGGGCAAAGAAATTTTCTCTGGAATTTCTTTCCTGCTATGAAAGCCATCCCTTCTTCCATCCCTCACGTCTGGGTCGGAGCGGGAGCCATATATTGAGCTGATATATGTGCGAGGCCGGGCCCCCGAGCCTTGGCCGGTTCCCGTCCCCCAGAGGAAAAGATCGCTGCATATTTTGCTCTAAAATATGAATGTTTGGTCCCAGACTGGTGCAACTGGATGTGAGGCGACGCAGAGACGTTCCTCACACATCTGTGTCGTGTCTTCAGAAAACGTTCCCAGTTTTCTTATTTTTCCCGTCGTTTTGACCAAAGCGTCTGTTGTGTGTTCCCGTGGTCGTTTCCCTGTTTCTAACTCCATCCAACTCTCTGGTTAGCAGAACCGAGCGGTTTGCTCTAACCAAGACGGCCTGCAGCAGCGTTATTAGAAGGTTCCCATGAAGACGTCGGTGCTTCTGTGTGAGGGCGTCACTGCTGTTATATTAAAACCTTCATGGTGAACATAGCAGGAACCGGTTTGTCGGTTCTGATCGATCGCTCTGTGGGAACCTGTGTTTTCATGTAGCAGCAGTGATGTCAGCAGGAATAAGACTGTCCTGTTGTCCTTCCTCCATCTGCACTGATATGTTGTGTCTTTGTGTGCAGGCTGGAGCCAGCTGGCCGCCATGCACTGCGTGATGCTGCCGGATCTCCTCGGCCTGGACAAGTACAGGCCTCCTCTGCTGGAGATGTTGGCCAGAAGATGGCAGGACCGATGTCTGGAGGTAGGCGGAGTTCTGACGAGTCATTTCCCTAAGCTCCCAATTCGATTGAAGTACGCACACAGCTATTTAGTTCAGTTCTTTCTGTAGCAACATCTATACACAGCATCTCAGGTGATTTTATAGGGATAATTCAATGAGAACATCCAGATTCAAAGTTTTCCATCTAACGAAAACCAGCTGATTGCATCAAACTCTTCAAAAAGTTCATCATGGTGGAAGTGATCGCACACTCCTTTGGCTACTATTTTGTCAAGAATTTTAGATCAGAAAGGAAGATTAGATATAGGTCTATAATTGACCAAGTCATCTGGGTCAAGAGACGGTTTCTTAAGCAAAGGTTTAATTCCAGCAACCTTAAAAGCTGTTGGTACAAATCCCTGTAACAGAGATAGATTAATCACATCTAGAATGGAGGAGGAGATCAAAGGGAATAGCTCCTTAAATAACCTGGTTGGAACTGGATCTAACATCCAAGTTATCCATCAACACCTTTGTTTCTAGATGTTGGAGCATGGCCTGTTTTCCAGTGTAGTCCTGTTTCTCTGACTGTGACTAACTGGATGTGCTCTCTTCATCCTCTGACATGGGAGCTGGCTCGGAGCTCGTCTGCCTGGCTGTGTGTTTCCTGGACGGGGCCGCCTGTGGAGCTGGTTGACAGTTGCCTTTTGTATCTATGCTTCTTTTTCTATGTCTGCTTCTGTCTCCTTGAACCCCAGTGGGCCTCAGCAGATGGCCGCTCACACTGAGCCTGGTTCTGCTGGAGGTTTCTTCCTGTTCAAAGGGAGTTTTTCCTCCCCACTGTCGCTACAAGCATGCTTAGTGGGAGGGATTGCTGAAGAGTCAATGAGTCGATGCAATCAGCTGGTTTTCCTTAGATAGAAAACTTTGAATCAATCTGACTGGATGATCTGGTGAACTGGAAAGTGACCTGAGATGACATGATGTGAATTGGAGCTATAGAAATAAACTGAACTGAACGGAATTGAATCCAAGTTGAAGGCTTAGATGAAGACAATAATTTTGCTAACTCTGAAAGTTCAACTGGATCAAAGCAGTCTAAACCCGGTTCAGATTCCATGACTACCTCAGATGCTGCCTCACCCTCCAGAGACAAACCAATCGCGGATAGAGGAGTGCTAATGATCTTATTTTTAATAAGATCAATCTTATTTATAAAGAATATCATAAAATCATTGCTGCTAAGAGCAGGTGGAATGGACGGTTCAACAGAGCTATGGCTCTGGGTCAGTTTGGCAACTGTATTAAAAAGAAATCTAGGATTATTCTTATTCTCCTCTATTAATGAGGAGAAGTATGCTGCTCTAGCTTTACAAAGGGTCCTCTTATACAGCAGTAAACTATTTTTCTAGACTAGGAAGGATTCCTGTAGGCCTGTTTCCTGGCATTTTGCTTCAGATTGCACAGCTCTGCATTAAACCAAGGAGCCAGTTTTCTTTTTTTAAAGTTTTTCCTTTTCAAAGGGGCCTGCGTTGTTTAAGGCAGTACGCAGAGAACTAGCAACTCCATCAACAAAATCAGGGATATCTGGACTTTGACTACACCATTGTAGCACCTTGATGCTCCTTTTTCAGCCAGATGTCCTGCTGTGAAAAGAACTTCATGTTCCAGTTAGTGACTGAGTTCTCGGCTCCTGCTGCTGCTAGAAAAGTCCAATTCAACCCCGAGTCACATTTGGTTCAGGAATCAGTTTAGAATCTGTTTAGTGTCGGGAATTGGTTCAGAATCTGAAATGTGTCATTAAAAGATAATCCTAAAGTCAGAATCGTTTCAAACCAGATATCTGTTCAAACTCAGGAAATGGTTCAGATGAATTCATAATAATAATAATAATTGAACTTTACTGATCTCTCATTGGAGAAATTTACCTCTGCATTTGACCCCTCCCCTTGGGAAGCAGTGGGCTGCCATTGTGCGGTGCCCAAGGAGCAGTGTGGGGTTAAGGGTCTTAATCAGGGACCGCCATAACCAGTAGGCCGCCACTTTCAATTCAGAATCAGTTTAGACTCTGAAATCAGTTCAGAATTAATTTTTGTTTTGTTTTTTAGGTTCGTGAAGCAGCACAAGCTCTTCTTCTGGCCGAGCTGCGGAGGATCGGCCAATCAGGACGTAAGGACACCATCGATGCCTGGGCTCCTTACCTGCCGCAGTATGTGGACACGGTCAGCTCCCGTAAGTACGGCACTCCGTTTTCCTTTTCTCCCAGGGCTTCGCTTTCTGTAGGTCAGCTGACACAGCTCGACCAATCAGAGCCTCAGTTTAGATTTTTACAGGGAACTGATCAGTGTGATTTACGGCCTTGTTTACACAGTAGCTCCTAGTGATGAATTCAGATTTATTTTTCCGTAAGTCTATTTTGGACGTCATGTGACCTCCATCAGAGAGAGAACGCTGATGAATCTGACTGTTCCTAGAGATGGTAAATAAAAACAAGCTCTTTACTGTTGTTGAACTCCTGAAGGGTTCAGCAGGAGCTGACAGTTTCATGAACGAAGCGGGAAAGTAAGAAAAAAGCAGCGCAGTTATTATTGACCGATCTTGAAGCAGCCAGTGATGCTGCTGCTACAGATGCTTACAAAGATGCAGTGCTACGTTCAAACCGAACGCTAGCCTCGCTGCATGCAGTTAGCCTAGCTGCACGCAGTTAGCCTCTCTGCATGCAGTTAGCCTCGCTGCACGCAGTTAGCCTCGCTGCATGCAGTTAGCCTCGCTGCACGCAGTTAGCCTAGCTGCACGCAGTTAGCCCAGCTGCACGCAGTTAGCCTCTACACGCAGTTAGCCTCGCTGCACGCAGTTAGCCTCGCTCCACGCAGTTAGCCTCTCTGCACGCAGTTAGCCTCGCTGCACGCAGTTAGCCTCTCTGCACGCAGTTAGCCTCGCTGCACGCAGTTAGCCTCTCTGCACGCAGTTAGCCTCGCTGCACGCAGTTAGCCTCTCTGCACGCAGTTAGCCTCGCTGCACGCAGTTAGCCTCTCTGCACGCAGTTAGCCTCTCTGCACGCAGTTAGCCTCGCTGCACGCAGTTAGCCTCGCTGCACGCAGTTAGCCTCTCTGCACGCAGTTAGCCTCTCTGCACGCAGTTAGCCTCGCTGCACGCAGTTAGCCTCTCTGCACGCAGTTAGCCTCTCTGCACGCAGTTAGCCTCTCTGCACGCAGTTAGCCTCGCTGCACGCAGTTAGCCTCTCTGCACGCAGTTAGCCTCGCTGCACGCAGTTAGCCTCTCTGCACGCAGTTAGCCTCTCTGCACGCAGTTAGCCTCTCTGCACGCAGTTAGCCTCTCTGCACGCAGTTAGCCTCTCTGCATGCAGTTAGCCTCTCTGCACGCAGTTAGCCTCGCTGCATGCAGTTAGCCTCGCTGCACGCAGTTAGCCTCTCTGCACGCAGTTAGCCTCTCTGCACGCAGTTAGCCTCGCTGCACGCAGTTAGCCTCACCTCACGCAGTTAGCCTCTCTGCACGCAGTTAGCCTCTCTGCACGCAGTTAGCCTCGCTGCACGCAGTTAGCCTCGCTGCACGCAGTTAGCCTCTCTGCACGCAGTTAGCCTCTCTGCACGCAGTTAGCCTCGCTGCACGCAGTTAGCCTCTCTGCACGCAGTTAGCCTCTCTGCACGCAGTTAGCCTCTCTGCACGCAGTTAGCCTCGCTGCACGCAGTTAGCCTCTCTGCACGCAGTTAGCCTCTCTGCACGCAGTTAGCCTCGCTGCACGCAGTTAGCCTCTCTGCACGCAGTTAGCCTCTCTGCACGCAGTTAGCACGCAGTTAGCCTCGCTGCCAAGTTAGCCTCTCTGCACGCAGTTAGCCTCTCTGCACGCAGTTAGCCTAGCTGCACGCAGTTAGCCTCTCTGCACGCAGTTAGCCTCTCTGCACGCAGTTAGCCTCTCTGCACGCAGTTAGCCTCTCTGCACGCAGTTAGCCTCGCTGCACGCAGTTAGCCTCTCTGCACGCAGTTAGCCTCGCTGCACGCAGTTAGCCTCTCTGCACGCAGTTAGCCTCTCTGCACGCAGTTAGCCTCTCTGCACGCAGTTAGCCTCTCTGCACGCAGTTAGCCTCGCTGCACGCAGTTAGCCTCTCTGCACGCAGTTAGCCTCTCTGCACGCAGTTAGCCTCTCTGCACGCAGTTAGCCTCTCTGCACGCAGTTAGCCTCGCTGCACGCAGTTAGCCTCTCTGCACGCAGTTAGCCTCTCTGCACGCAGTTAGCCTCGCTGCACGCAGTTAGCCTCTCTGCACGCAGTTAGCCTCTCTGCACGCAGTTAGCCTCGCTGCACGCAGTTAGCCTCTCTGCACGCAGTTAGCCTCTCTGCACGCAGTTAGCCTCTCTGCACGCAGTTAGCCTCGCTGCACGCAGTTAGCCTCTCTGCACGCAGTTAGCCTCTCTGCACGCAGTTAGCCTCTCTGCACGCAGTTAGCCTCGCTGCACGCAGTTAGCCTCTCTGCACGCAGTTAGCCTCTCTGCACGCAGTTAGCCTCGCTGCACGCAGTTAGCCTCTCTGCACGCAGTTAGCCTCGCTGCACGCAGTTAGCCTCTCTGCACGCAGTTAGCCTCTCTGCACGCAGTTAGCCTCTCTGCACGCAGTTAGCCTCTCTGCACGCAGTTAGCCTCGCTGCACGCAGTTAGCCTCGCTGCACGCAGTTAGCCTCTCTGCACGCAGTTAGCCTCTCTGCACGCAGTTAGCCTCTCTGCACGCAGTTAGCCTCTCTGCACGCAGTTAGCCTCGCTGCACGCAGTTAGCCTCGCTGCACGCAGTTAGCCTCTCTGCACGCAGTTAGCCTCTCTGCACGCAGTTAGCCTCTCTGCACGCAGTTAGCCTCTCTGCACGCAGTTAGCCTCTCTGCACGCAGTTAGCCTCTCTGCACGCAGTTAGCCTCTCTGCACGCAGTTAGCCTCTCTGCACGCAGTTAGCCTCTCTGCACGCAGTTAGCCTCGCTGCATGCAGTTAGCCTCTCTGCACGCAGTTAGCCTCTCTGCACGCAGTTAGCCTCTCTGCACGCAGTTAGCCTCTCTGCACGCAGTTAGCCTCGCTGCACGCAGTTAGCCTCTCTGCACGCAGTTAGCCTCGCCTCACGCAGTTAGCCTCTCTGCACGCAGTTAGCCTCTCTGCACGCAGTTAGCCTCTCTGCACGCAGTTAGCCTCTCTGCACGCAGTTAGCCTCGCTGCACGCAGTTAGCCTCACCTCACGCAGTTAGCCTCTCTGCACGCAGTTAGCCTCGCTGCACGCAGTTAGCCTCTCTGCACGCAGTTAGCCTCTCTGCATGCAGTTAGCACGCAGTTAGCCTCGCCTCACGCAGTTAGCCTCTCTGCACGCAGTTAGCCTCTCTGCACGCAGTTAGCCTCTCTGCACGCAGTTAGCCTCGCTGCACGCAGTTAGCCTCTCTGCACGCAGTTAGCCTCTCTGCACGCAGTTAGCCTCTCTGCACGCAGTTAGCCTCTCTGCACGCAGTTAGCACGCAGTCAGCCTCGCTGCCAAGTTAGCCTCTCTGCACGCAGTTAGCCTCTCTGCACGCAGTTAGCCTCTCTGCACGCAGTTAGCCTCTCTGCACGCAGTTAGCCTCTCTGCACGCAGTTAGCCTCGCTGCACGCAGTTAGCCTCTCTGCACGCAGTTAGCCTCGCTGCACGCAGTTAGCCTCTCTGCACGCAGTTAGCCTCTCTGCACGCAGTTAGCCTCTCTGCACGCAGTTAGCACGCAGTTAGCCTCGCTGCCAAGTTAGCCTCTCTGCACGCAGTTAGCCTCGCTGCACGCAGTTAGCCTCTCTGCACGCAGTTAGCCTCTCTGCACGCAGTTAGCCTCTCTGCACGCAGTTAGCCTCGCTGCACGCAGTTAGCCTCTCTGCACGCAGTTAGCCTCTCTGCACGCAGTTAGCCTCTCTGCACGCAGTTAGCCTCTCTGCACGCAGTTAGCCTCTCTGCACGCAGTTAGCCTCTCTGCACGCAGTTAGCCTCGCTGCACGCAGTTAGCCTCTCTGCACGCAGTTAGCCTCTCTGCACGCAGTTAGCCTCTCTGCACGCAGTTAGCCTCTCTGCACGCAGTTAGCCTCGCTGCACGCAGTTAGCCTCTCTGCACGCAGTTAGCCTCTCTGCACGCAGTTAGCCTCGCTGCACGCAGTTAGCCTCTCTGCACGCAGTTAGCCTCTCTGCACGCAGTTAGCCTCTCCGCACGCAGTTAGCCTCTCTGCACGCAGTTAGCCTCTCTGCACGCAGTTAGCCTCGCTGCACGCAGTTAGCCTCTCTGCACGCAGTTAGCCTCTCTGCACGCAGTTAGCCTCTCTGCACGCAGTTAGCCTCGCTGCACGCAGTTAGCCTCTCTGCACGCAGTTAGCCTCTCTGCACGCAGTTAGCCTCTCTGCACGCAGTTAGCCTCGCTGCACGCAGTTAGCCTAGCCTTGGAGCTAAACCAGGTCCTGGAAAAAGGATGCTTCTTGCGCCATTTCTCTCCTCTCTTTTTGCTTCTCTCTCTCTCACTCTCTCTCTCTCTAATACGTCTTTTACTCCTTCAACTTGACCTGTCAATCACTCGCGAAACGTCTGCGCTGTGGCGGGAGATAAAGAGCAAATCCACTTCCTGTCACGCTCTCCTATCCTTCTGTATTGCAGAGGAGCTGCTGCGCACGGACAACTTTTAACGAGTCTATGGGTAAACATTTTTGCTCCGTAGGATGGAAATACGTCACCAATCCGACTAAAAATGGAGTGACGCTTTACTAGTCATTAAAGATTAGATATTTATCTTGCACATCTAAAAAATACATATCAGTTTATTTTTTAATATTTAAAATTACAATTTAAAAATTAAATGATAAAATTATATATACATTTTTTAATGTCTTAATCAGGGTCATCGGGTGGGTGCAGCGGCGCCCTAGCGCCCCCTATCTGCCAGCCACTGCTGCTCTGATCTCTACTGTAGGCCAAACCATCCACTGCATGCAGTGCAGGACTAGATGAGTGGATGAAACCCGACAGGTTCTGGACTGAGAGACCCAGAAGAGGACGATTGGCTCTAATGAATTTAATCTAAAAAGGGATGAACTGAGGCTGTGTGTTTGCTGATATTCTCAGGGATTCGGTCCCTCCACCTCCATCCATTAGCTTTATTTCTCTGTTTGCCTCTTGATGCCTCCCTGTCTGTCCCTCGTCTATAGTTAGACCTGCTGATGGGAAGAAAGGTGAATCTCCAC